GAATTAAAAAACAACAAATTTCCTAAAAAAAAAGTTTACTTGCTATTGGAGCCTTATTAATTAATCCAGCACAAAGTCCTGGACAGGATGGGCCACATGCTTCTGTGGCACTGGCCGCAATTACTAATTGCAAGTAGTATTACTTTTTCGGAGAGCTGAAACTAATCTATTACTCCTATCTACCAATCGTATAACAGTATCATTGTTGTATCGTATATCATGTACAGACCGCTTATGCGGTTATGTTTCTTTTTTATTCAATTTTACGTTCCATTAACTTTTTCTTTTGGGTATTCTTTTACATAATTTATGATCATTTTGATTAGGGTAAGCACTCTTTGATTCCGTATTCTAGGGCCACTGTAAAATTCAAAAGAGTGTTAGCGAGAGATAAGATAAATCGACAAAAAAACGACCCTTTTCTATGCTGACGAGCGACGACCCCAAAAAGATCGGCTTCCATAGTCCATATAAAACATAGATTTAAAATTTTGAGTAATTCATTGACTCGAAGCTTGTAAGCAAACAGCAACTTGGTGGAAATTTAAGCCTCGAAGCTTTTACAATGAAAAAGAAATTAACCTGAAGCTTGTGTGCGTGCAAACACTAGCTATACAAATTTGAGAATACATCATTTATATTTATTATAATATAATTAATCAATTATAATTTAATATTTTATAGTATTAAAAAAATTATGTAAAGTTCACATTGTAAATTTCTATATTATATTTTATTATGATTAATTAATTATAAAATTATAATAAAAATAAGTTACAAATGAAATACTTTACAAATTTAGGCCACGCAAACACAAAGAATCAAATGCTACTTCTCTTGCATAACTACTAGGTGGCATGCTTGGCTCCGATTGGGTTTTTTTAAGTTAAAATTAGTATAAATCATTAGAATAAATGTTAAACTTAAAAGATAGTTTTATTCAGAAATTATTTTTCATGGAAAAAATATTTTGTTTATTCAGTCTATAAAGTAAATATTATTTTGTTTGGTTTATTTTATTCTTGTCGATCTTGTTTGATCTAATCATTAAAGCATATTGTTCCAGCATTGTTCCTAAATTGAGACTTTTTTTTTTTTAATATGTATTAGTAAAGTTTCAAGAACATTTGGTATGGTAAATGTAACATTGGTCTCAAACCATTTCACTTAAGAATATTGATAAAAAAAAAAGAAGCTTACATTTACCAAACTATTTAAAGTCTAATAAATCTTCCAATCCATAAACCTAAAAACCCTTAAAATCTTTCTTTAAAAAAAGCCAACCGTAAAAAAAAAAAAAAAGTGCTAAAGATATGTTTAGGATGTGTTTGGTATTAAAATTATAATAGGATAAAAATAATATAATATTAAGAATAAGATTAGATTAAATAATATCATTTTATCTTGTATTTAATATATGTAAAATTTAAAATATAATAATTTATTTACTAATTAAAATTATCTTTTCTTAAAATTTATATAATTTAAATTATTTATATAATTTTTTAGAGTATAATAAAATATATATGTTTAATCTCATAAATTAAAAATAATTTTTTATTTTAAAAGAATTAAATTATTTTATATTAAAAGGATAATTTTTTTTTTATAATATTTTTTAGATATAAATAAAAAATTATTATTATTTTATTTTATCTATCCTTCTGTACTAAATATTACCTTTAAAAAAGAATAGAGATATTAGATCTGCAGTTGAAGGGTTTAAAGCATGTGATGTTATTTATGTTATGCAAAGGACAAAAGGAGATACGAGTAGTTATAAAACCGTACAAGAAAAAAAACTACAATGAAGCAAATATGGGATTGACCATTTGGTGGTGGAAACCAGAAAAAACCAAACACAACCCAGAAACCCCGGTGGCCACTGGACAATTCCCTGACAAAATTCTACTGTTACAAAAAATTGACAGCTCCCCTCAAATCTCAACTGTTAAATATCCGTTCTTTTTCTAAAAAATTAGTATAAATATGCCAACAAAAACAGAAAATGAAGACGAAGAAAAACACATGTCAAATCATAAGTGATGCGGATATATGAATATCCTAATCCTTTGCTTTGCTTTGGGGCTGTATAATCGGCTTGGATAAGTGTATAAAATGGTTTTAGTGGGCAACACCACTCCGGGTTTTCTTGCCGACGGCCCTAATCCTTGGATGGTTGGTTTTGACGAGACAAAACAAGTTGCATGTCACATCATTTCATTCAACGTAATTACTTTTCCTTTTCCCCTTGTACAATACAAACAAAAGTTTATGGAAAAGGACTGCTTTGATAAGTCGTGACCCAAGCACTCAAAAATCTTCTTGGAGCTATAATTTTTTTTGAAAAAAATATTGCAGTTGGAAAATATATATATATATATATATATTACAATAGCTAAAATTTAAATTATAAATTTATTAGGTATTATTTTTTAAAAATAATTATATAAATAAATTAATTAAGTTTAAATTTTTTTTTTATCTATGTACATATTCAACCATTATTTTTATTTTATACGAAAATAATAATAATAATAATAATAAATTTTAAATTAAAAGTTTGTCTTGCTTTGAAGGAAACACGTGCTTCGCTTGTATTGAAGTATTACTCAGACTCAAAAGAGGATGTCCTCCTTTATAATGCAAGAAAAAAGAAATGGTAGTTGTAATATTATATATATATATATCAATTGCAAATCAATTTAAACAACAATAGATAATGGAGCAATATGGATGGAAAATGGAGAACGGTTGCGACTGTTTTCTTCTAATCTTCTCCCATTAATTGGTACCTTCCCCTTTTCATATGAAACAAGTCTAAAATAAAAAACAACACATTAATTCTTAAAACTAAAAGGCTGTTAAGCAGGTTCCCGTTAACCCAATTTATTAGGTTTGAGTGTCCACAATTATTACAACTACAAAAATATTAGTGTCTTCCACATGTGATTTATTTTTTTTAAAAAAAGAAAAAGACAGAAGAATGATAATTAATATTTTAGCTTTCAAACTTCCGAAGCACTTAAAGAAAATGTGCCAAATGATAGGTTCAGACTTGGGTGGATGCTTAGAAGGCAATGAAGTGGGCCGCTTTAACTGAATACAAAGATTGGTGACCACATACACGAGGAAAAATAACAAATTAAGTTGAATTTGTCCGTTGTTTCTTCAAACCTAAGTAGCCAGCTTCAACAACTTTAATTTCCACAAACTATATCATTTTTCCAGATATTTTAATTAGTTCCAACAATGATTAGACAATGAAGGTTAAGTTGCCTATATATTTCCTTTTCATTTTCAAGCTTGCTTTTGTTCCAACTTTCCAACACATTCTCCTGTAACCTACAAAGTTTGGTAATTCTCCTTGAAAGATATTCATGTCTCCTTCCAGTGTTTCCGTTGTATCTGAGACAATAAACAGGCTGAAAAAATTAACTTACCTAGGTGCCTGAGATCAAATTTTGCTGGACTAGCGGTATTGCTATTAGACACGTGGTATCCATGTGAGCACTTGAAACATGATAGTGGGTCGGTTACATGGGATCCTGATTTAAATTGTCCGACCTAATAAACTCATCTAATTACGGTGTACAAAAGCAATATGGTCAATTCCTCTGTAATTAAACAAACTAAAAATCAATAAGAAAACATTTTCTTTTAAATGCATTTAACTTGTACAGCAGCAATCCCAGCCCACCCACCCCCCCGCCCTTTGTTTTTTTGTCTTCCTCCTTTTACAAGTCCACAAAGTTTTGAGCTTCGTTGTGAATCAGCATTGTTAGAGCTTGATTAGACCCAAACTCTTTCATATTCAGGATCGAGTCCATAACGAAGACCAAATGGGCCAATATGTCATTAGATGTAGATGCGACCCAACCCCAGGTTGTGGTCTTGATGTTATTTGTTAATATTTGCTAGCCTTGTTATGGTTCAAGAAGAAAACTTGGACAAGCATTGATGCCTTATCCTAATAAAAAAGGTGTTTCGTATAAAAAAAATCAGAAAGGTATTTTCCTTGCAACTTTCAGTTCCAAGAACATTTTTATACGAGGAAACTAATAAATTCTGACATCTCCAATTATCACACAAATCTTTCCAATCACTTTAAAAAAAAAAAACAATTTCGTAAGTTGTTGAAATGTTAAAAATTTGTTCCAAAAGCAAAGGTAACGAAAGAGAAAATTGACCATATACACTGTTGTTTTCAATTTTCCCAGCAAAGGGTTTGCAAAAGAGAGATCGTCTCATTACATTCATTTTTCATGGGAAAATATCAAAAACTTTTCTCATTAACTTCTTAAAAATCTTAGCTAACAATAACAACTGCACGAACTAATTAAGACTATTATTTGTTGATAATTAATGAGTTATTTATGTTCTAGTTTGACTGATATATACAGTCTAAAAGTATATGCAAATTGTTTTAGTTTTGAAGAAAAGCTAGGAATTTACATGAATTGTGTATTGGAATTGATTTTGAACTTCAATTTTTAAGATAATTTTTTAGACAAAATCGTAAAACTCAATCGATCAAAGAAGATCATATTTTATAAGTTGATATAGATTTTAATATTTGTTATCAGAATCGGTTAGATATTAATGATGTATTATTGAAGATAATGAGCTTTTATTGAAGTAGAAGAGAATTTCATAATTCTAACAAAAAAAATCATAAATCTTACATCAATTATATATTAAAATTAATCTTAAAATATAAATACTTATATCATTTTTACCTTGGGAAATATATTTTTGAGATAAAATGGTAAAAGTTTAATAAGAACAAATAATACTGAGGTGTACCGTGATATAGACCTTGTGCAATCTTTTCGTATCAGCCCAAACCCGTCACGAGAAAAAAAAGAAACTCATACTGACACGGATTTGTTTTGTCCTTAAAGCCCAAAAGGGCCGAAGGGGTGGCGGTGGGTATTCCTCCTGTTGCCTGCATTATGTTAGCATTAGCTATTGCATTTGTCCTTTTGGGCTTTCCACGCTTCAGAGGCATAAATACAAAGGCGAGGGTGTGGTGGCTGAGTGGCGACTTTTATTTCTTAACAAGTAAGAAACCAAAATCCTCTGCATAACCAAAAAGAGAAAAAAAAGGGAAAAAGTTTTGCTAATTCAGTATTTTGGGGCTTGTTAGTAAGAGCAATTAAAAATAAAAAGAAGTTAAATAAAATTGGTAAAGGGGGAAAGTGTGGGGCCAAAGGAAAATCGATGAAGAAAAACCCTAGGATCAGGATCGAGCAGGCTGTTTAGATGCATGTCAGTGGAATAACGTTGGATCTAAATTGGTTCCTGCAATCAATATTTACGCTCTTTATATTCGCATTGGGGGCTCTTCACTTGCTTAAGAATACGGCGTCGAAATACTTCGAAGTCGACGCTAATTTCGATCGTGACCAAACAATGCCTGCCATCCCCATCGACTCCGACCTCTCTTCTTGCGCCGTTTGCTCTAATCCCGCTTCCAAGAAGTGCTCTCGTTGCAAATCTGTTCGTTATTGGTATGTATGCATTTCTTTTTAAAAGATTTACTTTCTTGTGTGATCCCCCTTCTTGATTAATTCTTGCGGGGTTGTTACTTTTTTTCATGATTGCAGAACCTGTTTCTTTTACTTTTCGGCATTACTAAAAGTAAAAAAGAAAAAAGAAAGTGTGTTCTTTTTTTATGTTATAATACTTGTTTAATCCTCCTAGTGACTAAATGCTTTCCAAAATTTTCTATAATTGTTGTTTACCGGTGACGTTTCTTGATTCTACATTGACGTTGACTTAAGTGCTTATGATTGAAACTTTTGGTTTTTTTTTTTTTTTTTTTAATTTGTATATATATTTTTAATTTACTTCTTTTAAACAAATTGGTATTTCTGATTTATGGTTAGAAAGAATTGCGTTTGTTATCGATCCAGGAATTTTACTTGTTCTTTTTTATTTCTTATAAGTACTTTTACTTTATTTTTTTCCTCTATAAAAGTACTGTTATGCTTAATTGAATCCGGACTTGTTCAATGCTGATAATGTCTATAAATTTTGATCACTCCATCAGTCAAATATACAGAAAGATGCCATAATTGTAGTTTTATTTGCATGAATGAGTTAACAAAAGCCTCTTAGGCTTTGCTTGGTAGGAAGGATGGAAAGGGATGAGGAAGGAAAACTTGTTAATCTACTGGTTATTAGATTAACAAGTTTTCCATCCTCATCCCTTTCCATCTTTCCTACCAAGCAAAGCCAGTCTCAATGGCTCATTGACTTTAAAATTTGCATTTGGTGTCCAATATAAGAAAATAAGAATTCCCAGTTAATATGCTAGTGAACAATGATTTACAAACCTTCTGTTCTTGTTCTGTTGGTTACATAACTACATCTATAATTTGGATGGTTTAATTTTATTACCTTTGCTCTCTTTTTCAGCTCCTCAGCCTGCCAACAGGTGCACTGGAACGCTGGGCATAAAACAAAGTGCAAAGTAAATTCTGCCCAGACTGGGAGTACAAAACCGTTTTCAGGAGTTGCTCTGCTTCCTGCGAGTGGAACCTCTAAGATAATCAAGAAGCCAAGAAAGGTTAATCTTTTGACCCTTTTTAAAACCAAATACAAGTAAATTTGAATCTCATTTTCTAATTTTTTCAGGTTCTTTTCCCATATGATAAGTTTGTAAAACTTTTCAACTGGGAGAAACGAGGATTCCCTCCATGTGGACTCTTAAATTGTGGAAACAGGTTCATGTTTACAATGCTTATAGTTCTTTTTGTTTGAACTTCTGATTAGACAAGATAAGTTTATGTTCCTTCTGATTTTTATTTATTTTTCCTGTTTGTCCTTTTTCTGCAGTTGCTTTGCTAATGTGGTTCTCCAATGTCTTGTATCCACGCAGCCACTTGTTGCTTACTTGTTGGAGAAAGGCCATCGGAAAGAATGTAAATTGAGAAACTAGAACTGCTAGGGTTTTCATCTCTAAGTTCTTGAAAATCTGGCCTGTATGATTTTTATTTCTATTTTCCAGGCAGACGTAATGATTGGTGCTTTCTATGTGAATTTCAAACGCATGTTGAAAGATCAAGCCAAAGTCTGCATCCATTTTCACCAATTAACATTCTATCACGGTTGCCTAATATTGGAGGTAATCTTGGTTGTGGAAGACAGGAGGATGCACATGAATTCATGAGGTTAATATCACTTGTATTCGATTGCATTTTCATTTTGACATCTTCTTGGAATTAACTTGAGGAAATTGTGGACTTCTAGATTTATTTTGTAATTATTCTCTGCCCTTTTTCAGGTTTGCTATTGATACAATGCAATCAGTTTGCCTTGATGAATTTGGTGGAGAAAAAGCTGTTGATCGTAGCTCTCAAGAGACAACCCTTATACAGCATATATTTGGTGGCCATCTACTGTCTCAGGTGATGCATCCTATTGATTTAGAATAATTGACTTTTCCTTTTCTCTATTGAAACCTCAAATATTCACCATTCATAAAGATACAGTATCTATGGATCCTATTAGTAAACAAAATTCTGGAACTTTGGGTTTAAAAATTTGCTTCTTAATTTAGATTTCTTCACCAACATAGAATACCTATATGAATTAGAAAGTCATAGTGAATAAGAGTGTTGCTCCATAACTAAGTGAGCATTTGTTCAGAAGTTGAACATCTGATCAATTGAAGGTGATTTCAGTTGACATTTCCTTATTTTATTATTATTATTATTATTATTATTTTTATGAATCACCTTGCTTGGTGTTTTTCAATGCTTAAGTTTGTACTCTGATAGTCTGATGTCCAACACTTTATCATCGTGTTGAAACCTTTTAGGTGATTTGCACAAATTGCAATAAGATTTCAAATCAATATGAAAATATGATGGATTTAACCGTTGAAATTCATGGAGGTGCTTCATCGTTGGAGGAATGCCTTGATCAGTTCACTGTTAAAGAGTGGCTTCATGGAGATAATATGTACAAATGCGATGGGTATGATTGCTTCTCCTCCACTTGGTCTCAAGATGTATATATTTTTGTTTGCATGATTTTAAATTATCCACTCATCAATTTTAGCTATATTTTATATATTTTATTGTACTTTTATGTGCAACTATTTGTTTGATGTCATTCTTGGAACTTGTGTTGATTATGGTATTTTATTCCTCTTTTCAGCTGCAACGACTATGTCAAGGCATGGAAGCGCCTTACTATTCGATGGGCTCCTAACATTCTTACAATTGCCTTAAAAAGATTTCAGGTCTTACCTTCGTCTACAATGCACGTGTAATTTGTTGGCATTTGTTGACATGGCAGTGAATGCTTGTTGTCTTTTCCTTTTGCTGTTAAATCAGATCATTGAAGCTTCATTTTATCAAATCTGAAATTTCTATTGAAAATCTTTGCAGAGTGGTCGGTTTGGAAAACTCAACAAAAGAGTCAGCTTTCCTGAGATGTTAGATCTTACCCCTTACATGAGTGAAGATGGAGATGATACCAATGTCTACAAACTTTTTGCAGTTGTTGTCCATGTGGATATGCTAAATGCATCCTTTTTTGGTCATTACATCTGCTATACCAAAGATTTCTGTGGAAAGTGGTATAGAATTGATGACTGTAAGGTATTTTCTCTCTCTTTCTCATGTGCATTTAGCACTCATTTCCCTTTTCTGATTGTGAGTGTTGTGCCTATTAAAAGGATCTCTCTGCGGGAGTGTCTTTATGCCAAGGCTTCCGTGTCATCCCCATTCAATCATCATTAGAAACAGGGTAGACAAAAAAATTGTTTGTCATGTCTAGTGTACTTAGATTCCCAGTTTTTATCTTAAACTGTTCTCTTTTATTTTTTTTTTCCAGGTTATGAGGGTTGAATTGGAAGAGGTACTTTCTCAGGGAGCATATATGCTTTTATATAGCAGGTACCTTTTTCCTCCTTCGATAAGAACTGGTACTTAAAGCCAGTTCTCTCTCTCCCTTTCTCCTATTTAAAGCTTTGATTTACTTTGTAGCTATGGATTACTTTGTAAAGGACTTGTAACCTGAAATTTGACAGCTAGAGTGCCCATTCAAATTATAAAAATTTAAAGGAGTTTGTCAGAACTAATCAGAAAAAGTCTATAGGTTCTGCCCCATAAATCTCTTGGTTTTGATGTGAATTAGCCTGTTGAGATAAAGTTGCAGTTATTGTTTGACATTTGTTTATCCTTTTTGTTGTCCAGTACTTGTAACTGAAGATTTATGGATACTGACCCCTTTGTTTAAATATATTGTGGTATGCTGTATAGGTAAAAGAGAGCCATAGATGGGTTTTGGTTGTCAAAATATGCATCCCATGTGTGTGCATCTATGGGACCAACTAAGGCATGCATATGAATATTCTTGTTCAGTGCTTTGGCCCAGCCAAAGGATGAATAGATACTTTTAGAGGAATTCCTTTTGCTTTCTTGTATGTGTAATTATCTTTACAACTGTTTTAACCAGCGACCTTATAGGTATCCGGTTTTCCTGTTTTGTGCAGGGTTTCTGCACGCCCATCATGTCTTAGAAGCTCTGGAACTCAGGGGAATGATGAATGGATATTGATGAAAGGTGAAGAAGAGCATTGTCCAAAGGAACAAATTCAGTTTGTACCTGGAAAAGAGTCCATTAATTCTTGTAGTTGTTCTTCGTCCCTGTCATTGAACAGTAGTTTGCATTCAGAATTTCCTAGACGTGAAGTTGAGTCATCTACTGGAATGAATTGTGATGCTGTTCATGGACACAAGGATAGTGATGTGATTAAGCTCAAGTTGAATTCATCTTTTTCTAAGGAAGTTTCCTTCTATGAGAACAAGTCATGTTTCCGGATTGATTCGGAAGGTATTAGAATAAATGATGAAGATATGGACAGGGTTAATTCTATAGCTGTGAGAGAAAATCCAGAGAATATGGAGGGGATTGGTGCTCAGCTATGTTCTTCTGATATAAAGGAGATGCCCAGTTGTGACAGAGATCTGTTTGTTGCAGCCAGTTCCGAAGCTGCACTAGAAGCAAAAAGTACGAAGATGGTTGACATGAAGCAGTATTTATCAGTTTCAAAAGAAAAAAAAAGCTGTGAGCAAGATTCAAATGTAGTAATTAATTATGAAATGAAAGATTCAGAAGACATGGAGGTGGCCTATTCTAAATCAAGTCCATCTACTGCAAGGGATAGCAGCCATCACAGCAGCAATTTTTCTTTTTCAGACGAGGCATGTCCAGCCAGAACCCTTGGTTTGAAACGTGAATTGCCCTTACACGGTTCAGAACCTGAGGGAGGGAATGGGGTGAAGAGAGCTGAAATAGCAGATAGTAAGCAATAATTGGCTGCATTTTGTCGCTAATTGTTTTTGTTCATATTTTTTGATCGTCTCATCATTGAAAAGAAATGGTTGGAGTTGGGTTCGTTATATGGGGATTCATTATATATAGAAATATCAGATTGTTTTGGTACCAAAATATTAGATGGCCCACACCCATTGTAGGTTGACGTAATGGAAGAATATGGTTACAATTATTAGCAGGAATTTCTTTGCTAACAAATTTAGCTCAACCTTGAATACTAGACTTGTGCCACTCCTGACATGTATTGCTAAATATTTGAGCTATTATTCGACGTGTCTGATATTGGCATTAGTCCGTCTTGTTTCACTTGCAACGAACTCGTTAAATTTCTCAGTGTATCAATACATTAAATTAACACTGTTATTATTTTTGAGTTAAAGACTAAATGTAGCTTGGGGACAAGTCAGTAGAGGTGAGAAAATAAATTAAAAAATCTGAAAATTGATTGGAAATTATAGTATTTGGTTTGATTCGGATTGATTTTTTTATTTGATTTAGATTAAATTTAAATATTAAATGTATATATTAATTTCGGATTGAATTTCAAATTTAAATGTGAAAATAAAATAAAAATCGAATTGAATTATACATGTTTCTTAGTTTTTATATATATTTTAAATTTTTATAAAATAATAATAATAAATTTATATTAAAATTTACTTAAACATATTAAAATTTTATATTAAAAAAAATTAAAAATTGATAAATTAAACTGAACCAAATTGAAAAATTTTGGTTCGATTCGGATCAAAAGAATATTCGATTCGGATTCGGATCAAAATTTAAATTTTAAATTTTATATAATATCCAAAAATTTAAATTTTATACAATATCTAAAAAAATTGAATCGAATCCATGAACACAACTTAGCTTTAATGCTATTTTGCCCTCGCCTTTTTAGGCCCTCAATGTCCCCACGAGTTGCTTTTCCAATCCTAATAGCTTTTTTATATTTTTTTGTTTTGATATATTTTTCGCGTATAAATGAATATATATAAATTATAAATGTAAGATGATAAAAAAATAGACAAATATAAAAAGGAAAATATTTTTATATTTTTTATTTCATTAATTCAATTTATATATCATAATAGATCTTAATCTATCTTGTAGATTTGAATGGAGATATAAAAAAGAAAGTTATCAATAAATTAAATACAAATTCTTTTTTTTTTGTGAATAGTTTATGGAATATAAATAAAAAAAGGTTATATAATTTCTTTTTGTTTTAGAATAGAAGCATTTTATTTTATTTTCCCATTTCTATATTTTTTTATGAAATTTGTGTAGTAGTATATAAATAATTATAATCTAGAAAATATATAAGAATAGATAAATGATAATATAAAGATACCGATCATTTTGTTTTAAAAATATGTCTTTAACATCCAACTATAACACTAAATAACCTTTTTTTTTTTTTTTTTTAAGGTAATTCCAAAAGAACATTTTAATAAGGGGATTTACATAAAAAAGATATAATAGGAATGTTTCCGTTTTGGTTTAATAAAAAAAATACTTATTTAAAAAATTACAAATTCTAAATTAATAACAAGGAAATTGCAATTACTATATTACCTTTATTGACCATAATAAAAAGATAGAATTTTCTTATCTCTTTCTACCTTTTCAATGTGAACTTTTTCATTCTCTTTAAAATATAAGCCTTTTATGTTTTGATATCTTACTTACCTTTTTTCCTTTTTCCTTATCTACTCCTCATCTAGTTCATTTGTCATGCAATACAATTTTTTCCTTTTTTCAATTGCTTTGTCTTTACAAGATCGAAATTGAAAAGCTTAGGGTTTTTGACAATTTTCACTTGTTTTTCTCCATTTAGACTACATCAGCTTATTAAGTTTAGGATCTCTTTCCTTTGTATCTTACATCACTCTTGATTTTGAGTATTTGATTTTGTTGTTGAATTATTATTTACGTTGATTTTGCAAATGAATTTGTGAGATATCCTGTTTTCAATTATTTTATGTTGAATTATTATTTATACTATTTTCAATGATTTTACATATCATGTTTAGGGTTGGCTTTTTGATATCTTGTTTTTAATGGTGTTTTTTTTCTATTTTCAATAGCCTTTTAAAAGAAAAAAAATTACAAATGGAAAAAATGGGACAAGAAAAGTAGTGGAAAGACATTTATGCATGTTCGGCTTGGTTATTTGATGAGGTTATTCTTAGCTAATTAGATGGATAAATAAAACATAGGTATGCATACTTTATAAGGTGTAGAGTTTGAGAATATGTGATATGTGATATGTACTTTTGGCATGTGTATATATTACCTTAGGGATATGTACATTGTGATTTTAAGATATATACATTTAGATAGAAGTATATGTACATAGTGCATTAGAGATATGTCCATTTAGATACAAGTATATGTACATAGCGATTTAGGGATTGAGGAGAATTTAGATACAATATTAAGGATAATTTACTAGAGAACATTGGAAATGGTAAGTTGACTTAATATTTTATGTTAGTGATTCCACCGCTAAGGTCAATAATGACAACAAAGATATGGCTTTGAGCTTGGCTACTCGAGAATGAACATGTCTTAGGTGGCAAATGTGTGAAATTTCTTGTTTCATGCTTATGCCATATTAAAGCTAAACATGGAGACATTTACCAATATTTTGATGACTTTTATAAATCAAGTAAGCAAAACTTGATTTATGTGGTCATGATGGCTCCAATTAAGACTTATAACATACCTAAATTTAACAGCCTAAATAGACCGTTTAGTGAATTCTCTTTGTTGTCTCTAATGACCAAAAGAGCACCTAGCTGACCAAGAGTGAAACATATTAAATCATAATTTATTTTTAAGTGGGTAATTTGATGTCAAAAAAAATAAATAATCAGGCCACAATCGAGCATCATATGGATTTCCAAACCTAGCTTAACATGTTGTAAGTTTTTCAATATTCATGTTTTGTCTCTAGTTAGTTGCACTATTATAGTTATTCGATGTTATTGAATTTAGTTTTGATTTTTGCATCTTTTAAAGATAACTAACTCATTGTCCACAGGTGCATACAAGTAGATTTTAACATGTGTGAAGAGTTTGTACATGTGGATAATCACTTTTTGTAGTTTTTGTGCATAAGGTATATATAGGGAATATAACTTTTTGATTGTATAGTTGATACTTTTTGTGAAGAAAATATAGATTTGAGATGCTTGTCTTTTTGTTGCATTGCCTAATGATGCTCAAATTGCTCAAAGGAAGAAAAGTCTCACTTTGCATAAATGAAGTTATTTTTGTATTAATTTTTTTTTTATAGTGATAGTGTATAGTTACTTTATCTAATTCCCTACCTCATGGTGCAAACAAATGAATATTTTTAGCTCATTTATTATTATACTTTGTACTTGAGGATGTTTTGATATTTAGTGCCTTTAATGTGGTTGATTTTAAAAATTGATTGTACTTGATTATATGTATAGAGCAATATTATAAAACATAGTTAAAATGGTAATCGACATAGATAAACAATTTTTAACAGAGCAAGTATCTCCATGGTTGAGATTAACAAATCTCTATATCTTAATCTTTATTTATACATATTTTAATCTACATTTTTTGCAACGTCTATTGCATGCAAAAAAATTACAATGACTTATTAATAGCCTAACGACAATATATGCTCTACACATATGTTAAGGTAGTTAAATTCCTTACTTTTATTACATAACTACATTAACCAAGGCATTCGACTTCCTTTTTTTGGTTTTAGCTATTATCAAAATATTTAAGGTGGTAGTCAACTTCAATTGTTACTACAATCGAATTCCTTGCTTCTATTACATAAATATGTCAAAGCAATTGATTGTTTTACTAAAGCATTCTACTTCATTGTTTCTATTACATAAATATATCAAAGGCAAATTGACTATCTTAATCAAGGCATTCAACTTCCTTGCTTCTATTTCATCTATGATCAAAAAGTGTTGGGTGGCAATCGAATACCTTTATACAGGCAAGAGAATTTCACATTTTCAAATAATTTAAGACATTTAAATACCACAACAAATGTACGTAATATCATACATAAGTAAAATTTCATAAATCTGACTCTCCATAGTTAAAGTAATATACACAAAAAATTGCATAATATCATTACATTATCAAGTATAATAAATAACATAAAGTATTAAGTATCTACAAACATAGTATAACCATTTCCAATAAAATACTTAAACCTTTTAGTTTAATCAATTACATAAGGTATTGATTGTCTTTTATCAATAGTACAATCAAATATCTCACAGTTAATTCCTATACTTAGTTTGAAGTAAGTTGCACAATTTTGTATCTTTCAATGTTATGGCAATCCAAAATCAAATTTGCAGCAAATTATAAATTATACTTTTTTATATCCACTTGCATTCAACAAGTTAAATAGCACATAAATGCTAACAGCCTAAATCAACATTAGTATAGTTTTAATCATCGCAAATTATGTCTCAATAAAGCAAACTCACACAGATGAGTGGTAGATTGATCTAGCCATTGAATGCTTGTAAGTGCTTAATTAAGAATACTTCACAATCATTTGCATTGTGTTATTGAGTTGAGCTATGAGGTTGCCTTATCTCAATCTACTACTATTAATAAATTCCAAGATAGTGATGATAAAAGAAAAACATAAATAGATAACCTTAACTCTTTATCGGATTGCTAATCAAATAGAACAAAATTTTTTTATAGTACACTAAATCATTTGCAGCTTTATGATTCGAAGTGCATAATAAAAGTAAGAAAACTTTAATCTATGATAAACAAATGGAAAAAAAAATCAAAGACAAAATGTGGCATAAACCTTAAATCTTTAATATATCCAAATGATATGGTTCGATTATCAATAATTTGAATTTCACGAGCTACCCTGTTGACACAATTTGCAATCCAATGATTATTTGCATGAATGAGTAAACCTATTTGATTTACAGAGATATATAACACTAATAAGAAAATGAAGTTATGATTGCCAATAAATATCCCAACAAAAAATATGTTTACTTACTAATTTTGCTTCATTGATATCAGTATTAAATGGCTTTTTTTATAGGAATTGATGAAAATGGTTCTTTTCAATGTTGTAGGTAAATTCTCCTCAGTCCTTAAAGACCATATATGTATACTTGTATCTAAATATACATATCCTAAAAGCACAATGTACATATCCCAAAAGTATATATCACATATCCCTAAACCTTAGACCTTATAAAGTATGAATACCTATATTTTATTTATTCATTTAATTAGTTAAGAATAACCCAATCAAATAGCCAAGTTGAACATGCACATGCGCCTTTCAATTATTTTTCTTATCTTTTTTTTTTCATTTGTAATTTTTCTTCTTAAAAGACTATTGAAAATAGAAAAATACCATTAAGAATAAGATATTGAAAAGACCACTGTA